CTCCAGGTACATAAAGCTCGAGGCTCACCTGCAGGCGCAGGGCGCGCGGGGAGTGCACCAGCGGCCAGCAGCGCCGGCACACGGTCCGCGCCAGCCCGCCTTCGGTCCGAGCCGCCGCGCTGGGTAAGTTCTCGCTGCGCAGGCTGGAGTCCCGGCAGTGCGGTTTCGCCCCGCAGTCCGAAGAATTCAGGCCGCTCGGCCGCACGGTCGGGTCCGGAGGCCCCATGACTCGGTGTACCCGCCGGCTTGGCCCTTAGCTTCCTCCCGCCGCTGCGGCTTCTGTCTCTCCTGCCCCCGCCGCTTCTCAGCTCCCGCAGCTGGTCCTGGAGGCTCAGTGCGGGGCTGCGGCTCCGGGACGTACTCGGGGAACAGAAAACATCCTCCAGGCCAGCCCTTCCTTCGGAACTCCCGGTCGGGTCGCTGTCGGGCCACGAGGAGGCCCACGTCCCAGGCCGGACGGGTGCTGGGAGCAGCGGGGCCGCGCCTCTCATTTGGAGGAGCGACTCCTGGAGGCGACGGCGACGGCGACGGCCGATCCCAGCAGGAAGCTACACAGGTGCCTGGGAGCGCGGCGCGCGGGCAGCGTGAGAAACTCGGGCGAGGGCCAAGGGGCGGGGCCGCCTGTTCGCGCGCGCGCACTGCGGTCCCAGACTCGCGTTAGTCGCTAGAGGAAAGCCCGGGACCTCCCGAGAGCCGTCGTTTGTCCACTGGGGCACTTCCGCTCCCCTTCCCGCGTCTAATGTCGTGAGTTCTCGCGATGAGGGCTCCGCGGCCTGGAAGCCCGCCTCACGCGGAGGTGAGAGCGCCCGGGATGAAGACCGAGCAGGTTTGGCCGAATAGGTTAGTGAGTGAGGTTTTGTTCACTTTCGGACTTCTTCAGTGCGCCGCCGTTGTCACTACCTGCCGTTCAGAAATCACACTTTTAAACATTTAAAAAAAAATTGAGTTATAGTTGATGTACACAGAAATCATTCTTAAACGCTTCGTGTTGTTGTCCTACAACTGAAAAAAACAGAGGATCGAATGTTGCACACTCACAGCTTCACCTAAAATCTTTTGTTAGTAGATACTATTGTTTTTTCCCCACCAGGTGCCATTGTATGTGCAACAACATGGAAAACAGAAATTTTCACTGGCAGGATCCTACCGTGAGACTGTAGGAGCGGTCCTCGCCGTCAGCCATTGGAGGTGTGGAAGGTATGAAATTTAGAGAAGACACAGGATGCTAGCTCACCAGAAAATGTCAGAAAGGAGATGACTTTTGCACTGGGATGAGTAAGAGTTGCTCCAGAGGAAAACAGGGAAAGGGCATTCCTAGCAAAGGGAAAAGTACAAGCAAAATCACGGAGACACAAAAAAGCTTGGTGTGTCTGGGTTGGTGCGGACATGAGGATCCCGTGGGGGATACATAATAAATATTTCTTGAAAGAACAGTTGAATAAATAGGTAAATGAATGAATGAACATGGCAGTAGGCAAAGGACAGTAGGCGGTGGCCCACCCGTGGTTGGCTTTGCTCACTCTATTGCAGATTGATCAGAGCATAGCTGTATTTCATAAGAGAATTTTGGTAAAAAAAAATTTTTTTTGGTGGTAAATTTACCACGAAAAGGAATGGAAACCGGAAGGCCAGTTAGAAGGTCAGAGAGAATGTGATTTCTCCTGGGTGGACTCATGTCGTTAGAGCTGGATGGGCCCCTGTAGATCTCATGGTCAACCTTTCTCATGTGCAGATGAGGCCCAGAAGAATTAGGTGACTTGCTCAAGGTGACTTGGGTAGTTAGTGACAGAATTAGGTTCACTGACTCCAAGTTCATGACTTCATGTTAGTTTTGCAGTGTTCTATAGTGTTTCCAATCAGGACCATTTTCAGTCATTTTTCTGGGGCCTAGGTCTGGCCCTGGGAGCAAGGACAGAAGTACCTCCCATCCCACATCTCCAAGTACTTTGCACTTGGTGCTCCCCGGAGTCTGGGGCCCTAAGACATAGCTCCCCTCCCTGATTTAAGCTGAGGCCGGGCTGACCTTCAGAAAATTGCACGTCCTGTCCCACTCACTAGGTGGCACACTGCGCCCATTTGTTCCCAGATTCCCTAGCATAAGTCCCAAGGGAATAGTGGCACTCTTACGGGGGGGGCTGTCTTCCCTGGCAGTCACTCGACACCCTGAGCTCCTCAGCTCTGTATGGGACTCAGAGATCTCTTCTTTTGTCTGTAGAAGTGGTCAAGTTGAGTGGTTCAGGTGTTCAAATACATCACTGCATAGTGTGTGG